ACAGTCAATGGAGACAAGCTAGGGACATGAGGAATACACTTCAGATCACCCTAATCAGGCAGTAATTAAACTCTTAAATCAGAGGTTTTTTAGATTGCTTACGGAAGAAGCTCTGCTTCTTTTGGTATAGGGCTCCTACCTTTTTTACGCAGACCTTTAAGATTCTAAAGATGAGCAGCCTTAAAGTTAAGCAGTGAGACTTAAAGTAATCTAGTTAAGGAAACAAAAGAATTTATGAATGTGATGTACAGTGGATATAGCAAGCTAAGATCTAGAATCACTGATGGCAGAGGGTCTAAGTCCATGTGAACTGTTAGCTGACTTGTCTACTAGTTGCAAAATTGTTGTATATTCTAATACACTCAGAGAAGTCTTCATATTTTGGAAAGAATCTGTAGCCACAGATGCCATGTCTTCCTAAACAGCAAAAAGATCCAAGCTGATAGCTTTATGGGAGCTTCTCTTGCATATTTCCTATTCCATGCTCAAAAATTGCAAGACGGTAAGAACTTCAGGCTCTGATTGTATATATGGATAATAAGAAGTTTATGGGATAGGGTAGCACACTTGAGTCCCAGAGAAGGAAGAAAATACTCCAATGAGGGGAGCTAAATGCAATTTGGAAATAAAGATATAGGGACAGATCATCGGCCACTGAGAAAAAGGCAGCACAGGAGTTCAGAGCATCCTGGGTTGATGTATGGTTGCCATGGCTGCACTGATGCTCCATTCATAAGCCCCACCTAGCAAATTAGAAAGTATTTGGGGACAGTTCTCAGCCAGCAGAGTGCTCCTACAGGGAATATTCTCTGCAGTATAATTTAACAAAAACTCTAGGGCCCCTACCTACCCTAGAATTAGGAGCTAAAATAGTAATTCACCTTCCAGCCACCCTCAAATTCAGTCCGGTGAGCCAAAAAAGTGAACTAGATTACACAGCAACAGAATAGGATCCAGACATCCTAGATGTTACTGAAACAGGTTCAATGATTAAAAAGAGATAATTCGAAGACAGAAATTGTGAATACTACCGGATGGAAAGTTTTCTTATAATGTAAGGATAAGTTTTGAAATGAAAACATATGAACTTGTAGCTATGCATACACTAATGTACTAATATTGCCTGTAAAATGTGAACTGATATTGGTTTATTACTACATTTGGTAATGCACAATTTCATATCCATTGTAGCCTACTATCTCATTATGAGATGCTTTCTTCTAAAGTAATCTTCCTGATATGTTGCAGGCTTGTTTACAAATAAACCCTGACGATAGGATCTCCTGTTCGGATCTGCTGAGGCATGACTATTTTACTAAGGATGGATTTGTTGAAAAGTAAGCATTTTATTAGTCTCTAGAATATAAGAAGCTCTGGCTTGGAGATTATTGAGCAGACTTTCACAAGTGCTGAGAACTCAGAAATATAACTAGAATAAGTAAGATACACAATTAAAAACTAAAATCCTGTACACTGCTAAGCACTTGAGAAGCTCATGTCCTAGATGTGTCAAGCACAGAATTAAGGAATCCTGTTTACAGCAATACTGTATGCTTCTATTTCTGTATCTTTTTGTACAAAAGATACTTGCACTTGAGGCTTCACAAACTGCTACACTCCTTAATGTTATATTCGTTAATGCTTGTGAAAAAATTGTGCTCTCCATTGATGAGTATCACTTAGCAATAACTGTTTGCAGGGGAAAAATCCGCATAGTGAGGGAAAATTGAGACATAGGATCATGCTCTGACTAACGAAGATGAAACTGCATACTGCCACCCACACAGAGGCTGTCCCATGCCCTGAATAAAACCTTAGTCAAAATGACATTCTTTGTGCACTTATAATGCATACAGAGAGGACAACAGATTATGGTTGCTCAGAAAATAGTATTTCTGGTGTTTAATTTGTCAAATTCTTGACTTTACTGCAAAAAACCCTTCATATGGCACTTTGTAAAATAATTTTAAAATATTTATTTAACATTACTCTTAACCTATTTAGGGCATCATAGTGTGATATAGTTTTAAGCATGATTTTGGAGTCATTTCTCTAAAAATTACGACTAGCTTTGTGTGAACAGCACTATGTTGTGTTCAGCTTGCTAGCCACCAGGTGTGGCTATAGAGCCTGGGCTGGTGCTTTGGAAATAGGTGGGATTTCTTTCATCAGTCTATACAGCAACCATTGCTGGCAAGGTCATAATACTGCAGGCTTGCCTTCTTCCTTGGAAAGCCCAGGCCCTGCTCAGGAGCTGTAACTACTAACACAAGTGGCTGTTAGTACGTATGGAGTTTTTTTTTTATTCAGACATAGTGTAGGTTTTTCTTTTTTTATATTTATTTATTTTTTTTTCTTTATTCTTTTTATTTTTTTACCGCAAAGCACATAGAAGCATTTGCAGGTTATGTGTTCCTTTTTTCTAACTTCTGATCAGTAAGGGAAAGTGTGGCTTGTAGCATTTCCTGTTTTGGCCCCTGATAACCACACTTCTCACAAATGTCTTCTAGCATGCACAATTTAAACTATATAATAGCTATATATAATAAAATTTAAACTATATATAATAAAAACTACATATAATATTTTGTAGTTAGAAATATTAAAATGCTAATTAGGACAATGGCCATATTAAATGCAATATAAAATCACTGAGACTTTTTTGTGAAATTCCCCTTTTCAGGCTTCATTTGACACTGTAGTGTCAAATATTTAGTAAAGGAGAACTGAAGCATAAAAACATTAGAGGGTGGCCAGTCATTTGGTGAACTGATCAAACTTCAGAGGCATTTTGTTTATATAAGAAAGCTTCCTTGCTCTAGAGATAAATGAAACAGTTCATAATTTGTCAACATCAAAACTGAAACACTCCCTCTGAATAAAATTTGCATCATTAAATCCTTTTTTATAAGGAACAGAGTATTTACAGGTTTAAAAACATTTTAGCCTATTTTAAAAGCCAAGCATCAGTTGTGTGCTAGATATGTTGTTTATTGACACTCTATTTTTAACACAGACTTGGCATTACCGTTGGAACTACTCGTGAGGTATTTGGCACTCTGAGTTGTTAAATAATGGATTTAGTTTAGATGCTGACAGATTATTTTAAGAGAAATTATTATTTAATATAACTTAAAAGATTTTTTCCTTTTTCTTCTTAGGTTCTTACCAGAACTGAAAGCCAAATTCTTACAAGAAGCAAAAGTGAATTCTCTTCTAAAATTCACAGGGAGTAACAATAATGTTGGACTACTAAAAGATGAAAAGAGAAGTGCTCATATTAATGCCTGTCTGAATGACCCAGCATTTAGGAAGGTGAGAATCGGTTTTCTTAAAATGTTTATTGCTGCATAAAATTTTCATTTTAACTACAACACTGTCTTATTAGATTAAATATTTGTCTTCATGCAGTTCAATCAAATCAGTGGCATTGCAGTGGAAAAGTGCATGTTGCTTGATCTGTTTTGGGAGATGGGTATTTCAAAATCAAAGAGAATGAAGGTGCATTGGATTCAAGCACACACTCATACATTTTTATAGTAAGATAATGGATGATATGTTTAAACATTCTGCTGAGCAAGTGCTGAACAAGAGATAAAGTAGCTGCAGTTAGAGTAAATACAGTGGGGGTTAATGCGTGAAGGAGCAAACTTCAAAGACTTGTTTGGTATATTGCTACTTTCCTGCTTTTCCTGACGGCTGGTTCACTCGCACCATTTCAGGCTGCTTGTATTTTACAGGTGGTTTTTAAACAGCAGACTAAAAATATTTTCATTAGTAACAGATTCTTCCTCGTAGGGAGTATGGAACATTTCTGGTGATTTACCCATTGTTGCTTAGTATCTTGTCACAGTGACAGAACTGTGGCACTTCCTCAGTGATACAATTCTGTATATTCACCTGTTTCTGGAAAATTCAAGGACCAGTTAACAGAGAAACTGATGATGTGTAGTGCCCAGAAACACCACAAATGAGCAAGTGGCAGCACTGAGGTTACGCAGAGGAGCTGCCACGTCCTGGGAGGGACTGAGAACAAAGCAGGAACTGCAGTGATGGTGCATGGGGTTTGCATCAAGCCATTCTTAGCTATTTCATAATTCTAGTCCAACAATTCAGGATAATCCCAGTCTCCATGGTGGAAAAGTAAGAGCATCATACTATTTTTTTTTTAAATACTATACTGTGTTAAAACACTACCAGAAATCTGTTCACTTTCCAGGTATAAAGTCCCTTTAGGTTTAAGCTGTGAATGTTGTAAAGCATTTTGAGTGCTTTTTTTTTTCAACATGCTATCTGTAAACTTCTTTCTAAGTATTCTTCTTTATACTTCTACTTTCTATATGTATACTTCTTTATACTTCTACTTTCTATATGTATACTTCTTTATTCTGCAGAACAACCAAAGATTTGATTGTAGAGCAAGTGCTGTCAGATGCTCAAGACTGTTATTTTTTTCCTCTAGTTGCTTTTGATTGCAGGCATGCTCATTATCTCAGAAAACCACACTCAAGCAGCACTGTAGTTTTTAAGCTAATAAGATGCTCCTTTAAAGAGTTCTTGGATCTATTTTCCCTTAACTGTGTTTTCTCAATATGAATAGATCCTTTAATTTCAGACTCCAAGAGCTATGTTAGAAGATAATGTTCAAATCAGCAGTGCATGCTGAGGTATTTCATCATTTCCAGGTCCCCATATACTTTTTGTTGTGTTTTTTTCTTTTTTTGTGTGTGTTTTTTTCCTGCCCCTCTCTAAGACCCCACAAGGGTTAACAGAGAGAAGAATAACAACCCTAGGACCCGGGGAAGGAAAAAGCAAACATCTAGAGGAGCTCTCAGTAGAGTGGAAGCCACCAATAGGCTGTGTGAATGCTTCTCTTTGGAAAAGCATCCGGGGTGGGAACTGGCTTTTACTCCAGAATTGTTCCTTCCCCCTTTCTGGGGATGGCAAGAGTGGCCTACTTTCCTAACCACTTTCTTCACCTGATGGAAGCTTGTTTGGGGAACATGGAATTTGTTGATGAGCGGAATAAATCTAGTTCTTTGTGAGTTACAAGAAATAGAAGTTTATTTCCACGTGCGAGGGCAGCTGGCAGGTCAGCAGTCCCCTATGCATGTCTGGTTCGTTTGGTCTCTATTCTTCAGCCCAGCTTTCAACTGCTACACCCCAAATGGCAAAAAACAAGACCAAAGACAAGGATAATGGTTGTGCAGAGAGAGGGCTGGCAGGTGCCAGCTTGGGTTAGGGGACGTGGGAGTGTCCCTTGTTTGCAGTGTCCCATGGTAGTACCCGGGGGGCACCAGAGCACCATTGCCTGGAAACCCCAGCTCCCAAAGGGAAAAGGTCTGGGAAAAGGAAAGCAATGTTGCTTATGAAACTATTGCATTTAATACAGCCATTGTCCTAATTAGTATTTTAATACTTCTACCTATAAAATACCATAATTATAAAAACAATCGTGGTTAATGGCCAATTTTGAGACACTAAACCCTGAACTTCTGCTCTCAAGGAATACTTGGGCTCTAGTATGACTGAAAGCAAGAAAATATAAAACAGTATCTAATTTAGAGTGTGTATCTATTTTGACATAGTGTTTGTTCTAGGATGTCAGAAAGGACAAAAAATCAAGGAATCTAAAAGTAAAAGTTGCCAAAGTGAAAGGTAGGAAAAAAGCAATTGCAGAGATGGAAAAAACTAGTCAAGAAGACACAGTTATTCAACAGGCTGCTTTCTCACGCCGTGGTTTTCCTGAAGAGGCCAACCCCAACCTGCCCGATGTGCTGGGCTCTGCCAGGGCCAGCAGAGATCTGTCCAGGACGGAGGGTCCTCTGTCGCCGGGCAATTGTTCAGCAATGCCACCCATCCGCGCAACCTGCAGCAACCTCACCGCGGCAAACTTCAACTCGCACTTCCCAATTTCCAGTACCAGGTCAGCATTGCTGGGGCCTTTCTCTAAATGAGGCAGCTAGTAGTGGTTTTAACTTAAAAAAAAAAAATGTGGACTTACCAACTCTATTTTATCTGTTGTTAGGGTTGGCTCTAGGCTGGCTTTGGCAAAAATATCTGATGCAGTTCATGCTGCCTCCTTTTTAATGAAGATGTTCTGCCTGCTGAGATGGCTGGTCTTGGCATACTTGAGATTTCGCTGAAAAAAATGAGAAGGGACAAAAGCCACGTCAGACCACACTTTGCTTCTAAAATACTGTTTTTGCAGAAAGTTATCTTTTCTGAACTTCCGCAAGTGTGTCAGCAAAACGAGCATTATGAACCCTGCTCATTATAATACTCTCTTTCCTGATGTTGTTATGGTCCTGCTAAATTCTACTTCTCACATGTAAATATGGTTCCTTTTGTCTACAGCACTCACTGGCATGTTGGTCAAAAAGCTACAACATTCCTTTGCTCCATTTCACATGATATGTATCATTCTAAATGCAATCTGTTACCATTGGGGAGCATTATTTGAAGTATGCATTTATGTTCAAATTTCAGTATACTTTTATAACTGTGAGGGGGCTATATACTGCTACCTCCCAGCTCTTGAATGGCCCAGCTGTGTTGCATTTGTTTATCACAGGGCATCGGAAAAAACAAAGAAAATAAGTCCTTGGCAGCAAGTGGGACAGATGGGAACCAGTACCAAACAGGGGGAAGAGTCTGGGTGTCAGGTATGTGTATTTTCTTTGTTTTCTCATTTTGATTGACCTATATATTTTGAAATGTACCAGCCGGAGGTTATTTAAGGAGAGTCACAATGATCCTTATAGCTTGTCTATTGGTGGTGACAATTGTAACATGTTAGGTCCACCAAGAAGGAAACTGTAGTCCAGTAAAGCTGTTGGATTTTCATCCTGGACTTCACTGAAATTAGATATAGAACAAATCTTTCCTCACTGGAGTTTTTTTGGAGTGATTGTACAAACTTGGCTGCAGCTTCACTCTTTGGCACGTGTGAGCTCTCAGCACATTCCCTGAAGACCTCCCCTCTCTGCTTCTTACTATTTTTTACTTCTAAAACTAAGATGATGAACAATGCAGGGTAAGAAGTAGCTCCATCCTTTCATGGCTAAGTGCACACTGGGGACCCACAATTATGACAGAACTTTCTAAGATTTGTGAATTATAAACGCTCTGGAGGTTCTCAATGGTGTTCATTTACGGTGTAAGAGAGCCGTATGTCTGGTACTTCAGAAGAGTGGATCTAGGGCCCCCACTGAAATATGAATTCTTAATATATTTTACTATGCTTAGCTGGCAGGAACCTTTAGAAAATAAAGCAGTAACTAACAGGCATACCACGCACACCTTCAGACATATTCTGATTTTTTTTTTTTTGGTATTTAGATGCAGTCGGGAAAGGTTGCGGCATATGAACCAACTGCTCAGATTGATCAAACGGTCAGCGTGAAGCAAAAGAAATGTGGTGTTGCAAAGCCAGAGAAAAAAGACATCCGCTTCCCAGAACTGTTAAGAACATCACAACACAAGGAGCTGAAAGGCCTGGAAGGTAGGAAACTCAAACTGGCTTTGCAGGTGCACAAATTGGAAGCTGGTTCGAGCAGAGAAGTATGAGTGAGAACTAAGCCCTAAATAACCAATAAGAAGCTTTGGTAGAAAGTTCTTAGGTAAAAATATGCATCACATTAGACAGGAAAAAGTGTGAGTTTTTAGGCTTCAAGAATACTTCTTGTAAACACATGAAAGGCGAGAAAATTATTACTCTATAACAATTATTTTTTAAGTGAAAAATCTCTAAAATAGTTCAGTTTCCAAATCAATCTATTTAGGCATAGAATTTGAAGGTAAATGGAGAATGTAGAAAAGAGGACAAACCCTAAAAAATAATTATGTATCTCTTTGTGAAAGCTAAACAGGTAAAAATGCTGAAGAGGGAGGCGAAGAATTCTGAAGTATCTAAAATACCTTCTTTACTCAATGCTGATCAGTGCTAAGAAAAACAAGAGGTAAATGAGCATGTTAGTGAAAAATATATGATGGATTATATAATTGTAGATGTAACAGTCAATCCACTAACTATCTGTTCTCAAAATGATTTTCAGACTGTGGAATAAAACACACAAAATAAACTCGAGCAATCTTTCCTGGAATAAGCAATGTACCAGCATGTGAAACTCTAGAATCTTTGTTCTGAATCTTTGACAAGTTAATATGTCTGTTTAATGATGTGGGGGATTTTAGAGGTTTGCTGTGGTATGTATGCATTCCGCAGGAGTGGTTTCAATGTGATCATGAAGCAGTTGATTTTTATTAAAAATCTGTATTTCCAAAGGTTCTGTTGCTTATTTCTCTTACATCTCTTGTATATTCTCTTGCTAATTTGTTGTTAGCTTCCTTCTAATGCATCTCCCAGCTGGTCCCTGGCATTGCTAGGAAGTTGTTAAAATGAGTACCTTGGAGATGAGTTTGGATTTGCATTTTTTTCCTATTTTCCTGTTTTATATTTTATGGTTTTATCTCTCTCTGCAGTAGATTTATGAGGAGCTTCTTTGCTTCCTCCCACCCTGTCTATGCAAACTGGTAAGTTCACAGTTGGAAGTCTGTTAAGTAACAACTGTTTTATCACAATAAATGTTTTTAGTTTATCCCCTTTCATGGTATGGAGAGAAGAAAAATATTCTGCATCTAAAGATTGACTCCCTCATTTTTTATTCTCATCAGTTGGGAAAAATTACAAACCACCTAAGATAGTAGGTGGTGGAAAGCTATGCAAAAGTAAAAGAAAAAGACTATATTAGTGTCTGAGTTCAAATGCTTTTCTCTTTATGGCTCAGATAGCTACTGAATGTCTTGAAAATATAAACAGACTTTTAGATACTACATTTTGTGTCAATAAAAAGTCACACCATCAAAAAATAGAATAATCTGTACATGGCTTGATTTCTTCAGATTTAATCTTGCGTGGTTTATTAAACTTGTGAATATTGTGATTCATTCCCTTTTGCTGTCTGGCCTGTGATTTGCTGCCAACATGCTATGCAGGAGTGATGCTGCTGCTGTTGGAAGCTCAGTAGAGTGTTGACTGATGTAGACAGACTGTAACGGATGTTTTAGTGGGCTATCTAAGCTTCACAGTGCACATGCAGAGGGGTGAAAAAGCAACGTTAGCCCTCTGAACAAAGCAGATTTACTACAGATAAATCTGTAATGACCTCAGCCGGGCGTAACCAATTTACTAGTTAACCAGAATACTCCACAAATTTGTGTTTCAGTATTTATAAAGGGTATTCTATACATAGCTCTTCCTCACAGTAGTAAACTAGTACATCTGCCTATCCTATATCCTTCAAGAGTGGCAAGAAGGAGGATCCAGGCAACTACAGGCCAGTCAGCCTCACCTCCACCCCTGGAAAATTGATGGAGCAGCTCATCCTGGCTGGTGTCTCCAGGCACGTGGAGGACAAGCAGGTGTCAGCAGTAGTCAGCATGGATTCACCGGGGGGAAATCATGCTTGTCTAACCTGACAGCCTTCTGGGATGGAATGACCGGCTGCATAGATGAGGGGAGGGTGGTGGATGTCACCCATCTGGATTTCAGCGAGGCTTTTGACCCTGTCCCTCACAGCATCTTCCTGGGCAAGCTGCGCACTGTAGGTTAGATGAGTCGGACAGGGAGGTGCATTGATGATCTCCAACCTCACCCATTCTGTGATTCTATGCTCAAAGAGCAGGACAATCCTAAGAGATTACACTGAGATTTGGATGCCAGACTATTTCTAAAATCTTGTCCTCTGCCTCTTCTAATTCTCTTTTCCATACAATATTCTGTTGAAATCTCTCTCTATATATTCCTTATTACTGGAAGTAGGGAGCTGAGGTCTTAATTTCATCAATTTCAGAAAACAAACAAAAAACTTTAGATGGGCTAAGGGTTAATTACAGCCACGAAAAGTAGATTTGATTCAGTGCACTGCAACTCAGAAGGTAAAGATGCATTTCTTGAGGATCTCAAAGAAAAAAATGGTACCTACGAGGCTTTAAAAAAAGTGTAAAAGGGAGAAAGGAAATGCTTCAAGAATAAATAGTAAGGTATTTTCTATTTAAAGTGCCTGGATCTGGCACTAGTCTGGGAAACATCTGGACTGTGTTCCTTGCTGTGCTGCTGGCCAAGGTGATCTCAGTAAATAATCTTATTGCTGAACACTTCAGATTCCCCTTCTGTGAAGTGCTATCAACTTTTGCAAAGTTCTCTGAAATCCTGCTGATGGAAAACACTATTTATTTGAGTGTCTTTTTGGTTTTTGTCTGTGAGCTCTTTTAGAAATGTGCTAAGTCTGCTCATGTACAAGGTTTAAAAGGATGGTCAGAGAAGATCTAATAATCAACTAATCTCTGCTGTTAAAAAAAAATGCCCCAGGAAATGAGCAGGATTTTTCTCTTTTGGTCTGTAAGCCTCCCTCCCTCTACAGAGCTAACAAACCTAACACCGCTGAAACGAGAAATCACAACACAAGCAGGAACCTCCCGCAGGAGGACAACAGAAAAAATAATGTCTCTCTGAGTAATATGGAAATAACTCAGCTACTCAGAATTATCTATTACGCTTATTATTGCAGCTGCAGGGGCACGTTACAATCACAGCACATCAGCCGTGGGCTTAACAACAGTATCCAGCAGCTTCAGAGCAGTCATGCAGCGCTAACATTTTTGCTCTTTGCTATCTGCTTCATGGATCTTCCTGCTAAGGAACTGTTATGTGTTTTACCGCATATATGAATATGTAGATATGTATTTTGAAATAGAGTTGCTTAACTACAGAAATGCAATATAAATCACTATTTGTATGAGACAACGTAAACCCTACATCGGACATTATGCTGAAGGGTTGCAAATGTTTTATTTGAGGTTGTTGTGGGAGGGTGAATTTCTGATGGTAACAGTTGTATTTTTTAAATCTTTGTCAGCATTCTTTTAAATTTAATGAGAAAAGACCAAGTTAGAATAGCTGTTGAAACAAAATAGTTATTTTCCAAGCATAAGTATTTTGGACTCATTGATTAATCCTCATCTTTGTTCTGTTGCATAGACAGCTCATACAGACTGTGATGATCCAAAATTGCATCAGATACAGAAACATCCCCTCAAAATTCAGAATTCGAATCTTCCCTTAAGCCACTTGTATACAGATGCTAGTTAGCTCATAGAATGCTTTTTATTGCAATTTGAAGAGCATCTTATGGCAAAGAAGGAACTGTTTCAGTAACACCACAGTCTTCACTTGATCTGTGTGGATGCTTCTCCCTCTCCTTTTAAGCATCCCTATCTCTTAAGTGGAGGCTAGTAGGTACAGAGGTTAGAAACAACAAGCACAGGTGACACTCCTGCAGTGAGAGTTCATAGGTGAGTGCAGATAAAGTTTCCTGACAAAGGAAAATGGGGAAGTGAGTGATTTTTCCAGTTTCACGCAGTGGTAGATGCAGACTTAGGCACAGGAGAGGTCTCCTGACAACCCACTGCCATTAAAGCACCGTGTTCTGACAGAGATGCAATGTGGTACAGACTGAAACTATTAACCATCCTATTCTTTATTTCCATACAACGTGTAGAGAAGCTTCATTATGTCTGAAATAATGTAGCAGTGTTTCAATGCTAGAAACTTTGAAAAATGGAGATTTTGATAGGACATGATAAATAGGTGTAGCTAATAAATTTATTATTCTCTCATGAGTCCTACAAGCAAATGAAGCATTACTGGGGATGGAAACAATTTTGTTGATATCACTGGAGCTAAACACACTTAAGCCAGAATGAAACATAAATGTCCACATAATCCTCTGTGACCTCTAAATTATTCCCCTGCAGCACAACAGTGATTTCAGATTACACTGAAGGGAAGTGTAATTTAAACTTTCGGTAGCATGTGTGCTCGTCCCCTTAATTTCCTTCTTCAGTAGTCATTGAGACAAGTTAATCTGCAGTGTGTTTTAATTGGAGGAAGGGTTGCAGCAGAGACACTTCGGCCCATTGTGAGTCTGTGTTCTTTCTAATACTGTTTTCCATAGTGATTTCATCGCTGTCCCAGGGTCTAATTACTAGAGGAATAGCCTTTGTGTGCAGAAGACAATGGGCTTATTGCTGCTCCTGGTGGAGCTTCCTGGGAGACAAATATTCTGTATTTACAGCTGGAGCTCACTAGAATTAAAGAATCAGTGGTACAAAAAGTTTGCTGTAACTTCCTACAGATCAAAAAAATCCTAAAATACAGGATTCCCAAAATGCAGCTCAGACAAGTTTCACTCGAATATTTAAGTATAGAATATTTTTTGACATTAAAAAAAAATCCTAGAAGTGTTCCACTGCTGCGTATAAAATGTATGTTTCTACTGTCAGAGTTTCTTTCCCTGTGTTAACCATAAAAATTGAAAACCCTGTCTCAGTTGGAATATTTGGGCAACAGAAAGCTTGTTAATTAACTTTGGAAGTTGCTTAGCATCCAAAAGTAGCATCTTGAGTCTTGTTGATTTTTATCAGTATCAGTGTTTGGTTTCT